CACCTAGAGACTTGAGCTCAAAATGCATCGGCTGATGGTGGCAGCAGGGCCCAGGATCCGGAACCTCTTCCCAGGCTGGTGGCAAGTGAAGGTGTGGCCAAGAGCTAGAGGGAGGCCAGGCTTTTCCGACCTCATCTCACAGCTTCTGGCCACAGCAAGTGTGGGGTGGTGATGGGCAACAAGGGACTCAAGGAGGGGGAGAGCAGCACCCCTTGATAAAGGTGGGGAGATGGGAAGCCCTGAATTCCTCACCCACGGCCAATTTCAGAGGGAGGGGAGAGTTACAATCTAAGCTTTGGCCAAGGGCGGGAGTGGGGGACCTGGGCTGCTGCCTAGGGCCAAGTCTGGGTCAATGGTCCTACTTCAGGCTGTGTCTGTGTTGACATCAATGACCTATGTTGCCTCCAAGGGCATGTGGATGTGGGGCCATGTTGGTGTATGAGGGCCACCCTGTTGCTAGAGCCATGCCAATCTTAGTGACCTGGGGCTATGGTGAGATCTGAGCCCAGGCTGCTGATGAAGACCATATCTAAGTGTGTGATCCTATCTACCAAAGCCAGGGTCTGTGTTAATGTCCATAGCCCATGATGCCATCAAAGGCACAGATACTCTGGATCTAGGCAGCATTCTGTGGCCATGTTGGTATCTAAGGGCCATGCCGCACTGGGGCCATGCAGATCTGGGTGGCCTACATGAGGCTGTGGTGTCATCTGGGTTCCTGCTGCTGCCTAGGGCCATGTCTGTGTCAGTGGCCCAGCAGTAGTCAGAGTGTAAGCTGATGTCCATGACTCCTGTTACCACCAAGGGCTGTGCAATGCCTAAGGTCTGGACAGTCACCTGAGACCATGTTAGTTATTGGGGGCCTTGTTGCCACTGGGCCATACTGATCTAGGTGGCCTGTGCTGCCACCAAGGCCATGGTGATATCCAGGCCTGAGCTGCTGCCAAGGGCCATGTCTGGGTCTGTGTTCCTGTTGCATTTGGGGATCTGTGATGATGTCCATGACCCACATTTCCACAGGGGTCATAGCAACCATGTGTATTGAAATCCCAAGGTTGGAGCGACAGTGACGCAAGATGGAAGCACCACAGGCTCAGACAATTTATGAAAACCGAATATACAGCCTTAAAATAGAATGAGGGCCTAAATATCCAGAAGCACCCCCATCTGTAAGATTTGTAACAAAAGTCAATATGAGCGGCGTGAGTAGTTCAAATGGAGTGGTGGGTCCAAGGGCCATGGCAGCGCTGGCAAAGTGGCAGAATTCCCACAGCATCAAAGTTGTCCTTCAGGAGCTTCGGCGCCTGATGATATCAAATGAGAAGCAGCCGCAGCCGCCGGAAGGACAGTGTTACAGCAATTAGTCACCAAGGCCCCGGCCTCCCCTCCCCAGTCTAACCTAAGTCTTCATTTTCCACAGTAGTGAATTTTCCTCCAATACTGCAGAGGAAGCTCCATTCGGGCTGCATCCTGAGACACTGTTCTGATACCAATTTCTTGTCCATTTGAAATTCCTACGCTGTGCTGTGTAACATCTGTCGGGTGTAACTGCTGGCTGCCTAGCTGAACTTCTGGGATCAAGAAAGTTGAAATCGGTTTCCTTTGGGAGCGGTGGGCACAGCTAACCCAACTGCGAACAGACATGTCACACAATCACCTGCTGCTGACACATGGCCTGGGTCTGCCTTTGCCCGCCCCGCCCTCCTGCCACAGCTGTGTGGTGGCCCTTAGAATAGATGGGAAGGTTTCAGGTAGCAGGCATGGGACTCCTGATACAATCTTGGTGCCAATGCCTGTGTAACCAGATCTGTTTCAGAATTTCTCTTTGTCTAGTTCTATCTCTTTTGAGTAGTGTATGTTGGATTCTAGCTGCTGCAATCCATAGTTCTGAATTAATTCACAGAGTGATTGCAAGGCTTTTTGGTCTGATGCTCCTCTCTTTCTCTCCTTCCTTCTCTCTCCCTCTCCCTGCCACTTCTTGTCATTTTCTCTCTCTCCATGTGTGAAGACTACACTTAAAAAAGAACTTTTCATTGATTAATTTAGCATAATTTTATTGAGCACATACTATATCAGGTAGAGTTCTGATCTATGAAGATGGACAGGAATATTTCTCTATCAGATTGACAAACAAAAACATGTATGAACAGTGTAGCTTGTCACTCTTGGGAAGCCAGTGTGGTGATGGCATTCCACAGCTGTGAATAGGAAGATGAACTTTGTTCCTAATCCATGCCAGACACCCCAGGCCTACTTTGCACTTAGGATTTACTTCATACGTATCTAATCCTCTCTGTTCCTATTTCTCCACTTGTAACACGAGGGCATAATTGCTGTCAGGACTGTCTTAGTCTATAACAAAATACCTCAGACTGAGTATCTATAAACAACTTAGATTTATTTCTTATACTTATGAAGGCTTGGACGTCCAAGGTCAGTTTCTGGCAGATTCAGTGTCTGCTGAGGGCTCATGACATTCTGGGATGAGGAAGTATATAAAGTAGAAATATGACTTGATACATATTCATTACAAGGTAGTTGTTACCAAGAATGATAGGAATGAGACATGGATTGATTTTTTTTTTTTTTTAGAAACAAAACAGTCTTCTCTCTCTTTACATAAATATCCACAGATGTATGAAAATGATGCCTGAGAACTTTTTTTAAGGATGAAAAGACACAAACATTTTCTGAAAGTTTTTTTAATTTTATCATTTTAATATGAAACCTGCTTTTCATTCCCCACAGCAGTGGTCTAACCTTCATCTTCATCCTGCTATTAATTTAAAAATAAATTTATATTGGGCATAAGACCAATGAAGGAAACTTTATTTTAAAAATCTACTTGAAATAGATTTTGCAATGAAGAATCACTTAAAAGATAATGTTGAAACAATAACGCATTGGTTAGGATGGGATTGTGCTCGGCTGGTAGAAAGCTTGCTGGGCATCTGCAAAGCCCTAGGTTTCATCCCCAGCACCATGTACACTGGGCATGGTGGGGCACGCCTGGATTCCCAACACTTGGGGTGCAATGGATCAAGTGTTCAACTTCATCTTCATCTATTTAACAAGACTTTGTTTAAAACTGTATCAGTAGATCTCAGTCAGAGTAAAGTTTTAGTTATACGGCAACATTGTGGGTCAAGACAGTCTGAATAGTTTCTGCATTTCAATTTCATCAGCTTTCAAGTGGGCTATATTTTATTGCCCATTTCTGTTGAATGTTTTGTACACTATATTGCCTGGGATTCCAGCAGTGGCTGTTTTCCAATAGATGGTGACTGTCTCCAACTGACCTTTTCCTCTTTTTTGTCTATTCATCATGCTGTTGTCCCCTGAGCCTATGGATTGACTCGGAACAACAAGTAGAGAGAGTTCAGCAGGCAGAATACAGTGGACTCCAGGTAGGCATTGAACACTGACTTGATATACACAGGCTGTGTGATCATTATAAGTGTCACCTTCAATGAAGATAGTGCCCCACCTCGAGACCTTTCTCATAAGGAGAGTACCCTCCTGGAACAGATCCACTGATCCCCCTCTCTGGTCTCGTTCTCATCCTCATCCATCCACACAATTACATGTCTGTGTGCTCTTTCCCACTCGGGCCACTCCAAGTCCTTTTGTCATTTAAGATTGGGTGGTCAGACATTTCTTTGGTCTTCTAGCACCTCAGAATTTGGAAGCAAACACTTAACATGTCCTTTTCCTGAGTGTGGGGACTTGTGTTTGGGTGTGTGAGTGTGCATGCAATTTCTTGTCTTCTTAGGGATCTGATGCTTGGGACTAGGCTATATTCATCGTGGTGTTTCCTTATTGTCACAGAACCCAGTATGGTGTTTCATGCATAGCAGGGATTAAAATCCTTAATAAGCAAGGAGAAGGATACATAGAACATATAGGGAGGGAAAGGCAAGGGGAATATCATTACTATAGACCTAAGGAGTGGTATGAAAGACAAAATCATGGTTGAGATAAAGCAGGGAATCCCAATGGGCAGCAAGTGCTAACAAGGAAGTGAGGGGCTTGGAAGACCAATAGTTTGTTCCCACATTCATCCACCCTCTTTCCTGTTCATTCTTCACTCTGCTCATTCATAAGTCTAGGGGCATGTGCTTTGCTGCATCCTAATTCTAGGTAATCCATGAGAAACATTCCCCCCCCCCATAACTTAAGTGGTGCCCTTGCTTGGAAGAACCCGTTTTGTACTATCAGATTAAAGCATTGGGTTAATGTCCATTTCTTTCCAATTATTATTTCCTTTTCCCTTCTCAGGCTTCCCCTGTTTCTGTCTTTCACTCCTTCTCAACTGAAAGTAACAGTGGCATGTCAGGTGGGATGAGGAGAATGTAGAAGCTGACCTGGCCCCCTTTTCCCCCTCCGTTAGTTATACACACAGAAACATACCTTGTCATGCCTAGTGTTTTCCTGTGTGTGATATCTTTGGCTTCCAGCCACAGAAGTCATGGGTTCTGTGTTTCTCATGAATCAACCTGTTTGTCACAGTGCTTATAACATACAGCTGCGGCAGAGTGCTCACCACACACTAGCCCGATCGAAATAAGACTGTGACTGTTCCCCCACTCCTCTCCCCACCCCTCTGGGTCTGATCATCATTCAGTGTCCACTCTATGTACTCTCAGTAAAGAGCTGCCAAGGGCTGAGTTGATAGCATAGTTGGTAAAGTGTGTGGGTCATATGCCTGAGGACCTGGGTTTGAACTCATGTAAAAAACAAGCCTGGCATGGGGGCATGTGCTTGTAGTCCGTGCCCTGGAGAGATGAGAACAGGTAGTCTCTGGGACTCACTAGGCAGCCAGGCTACCCAGATAAATGAGCTCTGGATTCAGTGAACAAGGTGGATGGCACCTCAGGAGTGACAGCTGATGTTGTCTTCTGGTTTACACATACACACACACACACACACACACACTCACACATATGTGCATGTACACACAAAGTTGTTGAGTGTACATATAAAAGCATAAAGGAATAAAGAAATTTATCACTCCATTTTATTTTGTTAGACAATTCTTAGCATCTTTTACTTTTTTTGACTCTTGAGAATTGTCAAAGATTTTTTGTCTATATTGTTATGATTATCCTAAATAAACAAAACTGGAGTTCCATGAATATTTAATGAGGCAGTGTCACTACCAGCTGGTTGTATCGCCAAGCACATTCAAATTTGTCAACATTATCTTTAATTTACTTAAAAATTTATCGTCATTACTTTCGAGGGGTTCACGTCTGGGGTTATTTTATACTGTTCATTTTGTTGTGATTTCAACTGGTTGGTGGTTTGTCTTACTTTGATAAACTCTGCCAGAGCTGTCTGTAAAAGGAGTTCCCGAATCCTATTCTTGCTTGCTCCACCCTTCCAGCACCCCAGATCAAATCAAAGTGTAAGCCACGTGGTATTCATGGTGCAACATTCAGGTCTGCAGTCCGGATTACAGCTCATCGTCTTCTGATATAGAATCCAGGTAATCTGTGTCAACGTAGAGGAGAAATCCAGAGAATAGGCTGTCTGCCCAGCCTGGGTCTGAGAAGAGGCCATTTTGGTCATTGAAGAAGATCTCCAGCCAGACTTCATCTTCTGGCTGCAGGTAGATGACTGTGGACCCTGAAGCCACATCATGGTTCCCTGTGTTGGCATCAAAGGTCCTTATTCGGTACTGCCCATTGTGTACCAACCCAATTGCTAGGTGCTTATTGGCCAATGTGATATCATAAGAAAAGTAATAGATCCCCGGGAAAGCACAAATGAACTTCCCCGTGGCGGGGTTGTAGTGTTCCCCCTCATTGAAGAGGACCTTGTTAAATATGATGGGCAGCCTTTCTTCTGGGTAGCTGGTTGTGATGCCAACTGAAAAGGCAGATTTGAGCACAATGCTTCCACATCTGCACACTCCAGGCAGCCCTGGGTCCCCTTGATCTCCTCGGTCTCCCTTTGGGCCAGGAGGCCCAGCTGGGCCGACTTCTCCTTTCTCACCCTCTGGTCCCATAGGTCCTTTCTTCCCAGTCTCTCCTTGGTCTCCTTTTTCACCAGCAAGGCCCAGGGGTCCAGTCTTACCTTTTAGACCTTCAAAAACAATTAATGGCTAAATCAATAGTTCTTCTAGAGAGTCACAAACAACATACCGCCACACTGCTAACACACTCTAATCACATCTTTTCAGTCAGTTATCAACATCTTCCTGCTAATTAAAAAGCCTTGGGAAATTATTGGTATACTAAAAATGAGAATAGAGAAACCACTTAGATTTTCTCCAGTATTTGAGACTTCAGTTAGACCCTGATTGATTAAACTAATACGCTATTATTTTGAAGACATATCACCTGGTGCATATTAGTCATAGCCAGGTACTTGTCAACACGGAAAGGCTTCAGAGGGCATGCTGGTATTTTTCCCAGAGTGAGTCTGGAGGGGAGACAGAACCAGACAATTCTTTGAAGACAGCTTAGTCTTTCTCTCATTCTATCCCTGTTAGTGTTAATAATAAGATAATTAATCAAAATCAAATTCGATATTTATCAACTATTTACTCTCTGCTAGGACCAAGGTTAAATGTTTCATCTGCATCCATTATCTCATTTAAATCTCACAACAACATAAAAAACCCTAAGAATTAATAACCTCATTGCAGATGAGGAAACTGAATCAAGAGATTGGAGCTACTAAGTGATGGAGCTGCGATCTGAACTCATGCCTGCCCAACTCTGGAGCTTGGGTACCATCCTCTGGGAAATGTGTTGGGCTGAATATGTAAGCTGTAGGTGACCCTGGAATGTTGGGGCATCATAAGCTACTTTAAAATGCCGACTGCTTGCCTATTCTACAGTCCTTCTTTTGCAGGAGAAAACTGAGTTCCCAGGAGGCAAAGAGACTTGACTACATATCAGGATTAGAAGGATCCTAAGCCTTTCCAGCCTCATAGTGTCTTGGTCCCCTCCATCTAAATGCCTCTTACCTTGAAGTTAGCCCTTCCACTGAATGTCCCACTTTAGGCTCATTCCCTAACCTCTCTGGGCCCCCTTACATAAAGAAAACGGGATGAGAAGGAATTTCAACCAATTTTAGGCTTGCTTTCTGTCTGTCCAAATCTTTACACCTGTAGGTTAACTAGAGGCTAACTGTAGAGAAAAAGCGATCTTGACTGAAAGCCATCAGCAAAATTGACTTTTTTCTTCATTTTATAAAACAACAATAATTAGTATAATGAGGGTTTTAATATTTGTGACCAAATCCATGTCACAAATAGTACTTGGATAATAGTATTTCTCCCCGAAGTATCCAAATTGTTGGTCTTCGGTTGTTTACTTTTATGTTATTCAGGAAAATGCATTGTTAATGCATGGTTTCTCTTGTAACCAGGACTTTCTTCTCAGGGACTCTGATCTGTTAAGCCCTTTATCCTGATGGTGCTTTGATATCAATTATTGGAGTGAAGTACATACTTCAGTGCATGCATGTGATAACTTGATTTTTTTTCCCTGTTAATTGGCAAAATTAACAAGTAAGTACCTTGGCAATGTCAAGTTTAGGAGAATTAAAACTGTACCCTTAAAATGTCAAGCATGGTGCTTTAATCCTTATGAAAGTGGCTGTTTAAGAATTTATGATGCCTGGAGGTTATTGTCAATGAATGTCACCGCTGTTGGTGAGACAAGATCAGCATTCTCATCAACTACAGTTGCATCCCCTCAATGCAAACAGTCCTGTGAAGTTGAAACTCTACTGGTCCAAGCAGAACACACATGGCAGATGTCTCTGAGCTTCACCAGGGCTCAACTCTCTGGGGTAGAAATGGAATATAAACTTTCTTTTGTTGCTCACAAATCAAAGACTGCAAAGTCTGAAATTTGTATCTAAGTTCAACAGTAGCTTAACTTTTTCTGCCTTCATCGTTGATCTTCAGTACAATAATAGTGAAACTATTCTTGTCTCAGTAACAGTTTTGATCATAGGAGTTCGTTACAAACTCAAATCATGGTGCTTATAAGATTTTCTGGCTCAAGGGCTCCTTTTGCGATACAGAGACATTGGATATAAGTCTACTCCAACTTAGTGGGCAACACAGTCAACAGTGACTCAGCATGTCTGAGGTAGAACCCACTTTAACTGTGGATCGAGTAGTAAATTTGAAGAAAGGCTAAGATCCTCCTGGCTTAGGCTTCCCAGTCGCTGAAATAAAGGTTAGGAGTAGGTTGCTTGAGGTCTCATTCTCTTGAAAATTTATTGAAGGCAGCTCATAAATAATGAAATGAAAATTATAAGTATGAGGAACTCTTAACAACCTCAGTGCTTAAATTTTCTATTGTAATACATATTTAATACTCCGAACTGCAGATACATCTAGTCATGGAGTAAATGTAATAATAATATATAGGGCTTTTTCTTATTTATATGGAGAATTTCCCCATGGACCAGGTGACTATATATTCAAGAGAAGAAAAAGGATAAATCGTTATGTATTAAGGATTAAACTATGTTTATGTACATAAGTTTAGCCATATATTTCTTTTTAGTTCTCCCTCAAAGGGGTCTACCTAGATTTTATCTTTAGAATAATTTTTATCCTTTCTTTCATCCATGCATCATCTATATAGCCATCCATTTGTCCTTCCTTCCTTCTTTCCTTCCTTCCTTTTTTTCCAACAATGAATCTATGCACACATCTACCTTAAGTTTAGAACCACATAGTATTGTCTGCACACTTACCATATATGATAGGGACTCAGTATATGAGGGTTTGAGAGATGGCTCAGTTGTTAGAGACTAGGCTTGCAATAAAAAAAAAATACAAGGATTCTTTATGAGATAGTTCTAGTGATATTTGAATGAGCATGGATTCAGATTTAATTGAATGTAATTAATATATTGTGGTGATTGCTACAGACCAGTGAGATATGTTTTTGCAGAGAATTTATAATTTGGTGTGATAATCTCTTCATTGGCTACCTAGTTTAGGGTAGCTAAGTTGGAAAAGGAATACAAGTTCTTCTTGGATTTTGTTGAGGTGAAGGCAACCTGGTACCCAAGAAAGGTACACAAATGGAAAGGTTCTGTACTGTCATTGGAGAGGAAGCACTGGGTAGCACTTCCCAGCCTCGGACTCATTTCCAGCCACTCTACAAATGTGGTTTTGGGGTGATATGTGTACCTCTTCGCAATTACAGTCAGCCCCATCTTTCCTCTCTGAGTCAGGCATAGCCTTAGGTGTGTTTGTTGGATTCACATAGTCTTCAGTTGGAAAAGTCACTTTCTTTTTGAATCTCAACAGTTTCATTTGTAGTTAATGGTGAATGCCAAAATAAATAAGTTCCCACCACGTAGTGAGTTCTTAATAAATGGAGCAGTATTTGGAGCTATTACAAGATGCCTTAGATAGCCTTTTCCCTCCACTCCCTGACAAATGTCTGTGTTCCCAGTTTCTCAATTATCCATGTCCCTGGGGACAGTTTTCAGTGTCCAAACCTTCCTAATGCTCTGACCCTTTGATACAGTTCCTCATATTGTAGTGACCCTCAACCGTAAAATTACTTGTTTGCTACTTCCTAACTAATTTTGCTACTGTTATGAATCATAACAGTGCATGATATCTAATATCTGGCCCCTGTGACAGAGTAATTTGTCTCTCAAAGAGGTCACAATCCACAGGTTGAGAACCAATGGCCTAGCTCCATATTTGGTTACTACAGTTGGGAGTGGTGTGCCACTGATATCCAAGGACATGCTGTCAGACACCTCACCCTGCCATAAAATTATTCAGCACTAAATGACATTGGTGTGGAGGCTAAAACATACTCTCCAGGAATAAAAGTTGGTAGTTAGAGATACACAAAATGTTCCTGAGTAAATAGTGCATGGATACATAGAGGGATGAACAGATTGATGTATACAAGGCTATCCCTGACCACATAGGGCTAAAGCTGTAGCACTTAAGGACATTAAATTCTATCTGAAATAACAGTAGAACTACTTTATGAGTATATTAATCATTTTTTGTTTGTTCTGTGGCTTTGAGTAGCCACAGACTTACGTTGGGCCTGTGGATCAAAATGTAATAATTAACAAAATGTAACATTTACCAAATACTTAGCACATGGTAATCTTTCTATGGGGCATTCTGCGTATATGATTACCCTCAAACTTCACAATTGCCATTACTCCTGCAAATTTACAAATGAGGTTCAAAGAGGTTATTTGCCCAAGGATGTTAGGTAAAGTAACCTGAAAGAGCCAAGGTTTGAGTGTGTTTTCTGGTGCTGATGCTTGTGTGATTACATTCTTCCTTTCAGACATAGCAAGCTGAAAGGGTTGGTCATATAGAACTATAATCTGTGTGTGTCATAGAATTTTAAGGATATTTACAATCATGGCTCAGTAATAATTTGTATTCACATGAGCTACCTTATAGACAGCCGCCTTTGAATAACTACATCTAAGCTCCAAATTCAAGGTTTATCTGACATCGGATCTTTACACAAGGTTCTTTACTATTGAACAATGCTCACACGTCTGACAGCTATTGACTTGCCCCATGTGTTCTGCATGGAGTATTTGGAAATGACACATTAGCCAATAATCTGAATGTATGCTATAGCACCATCTCACAGAACCCCAGTAAATCAGGTGTGGTGATTGGGTAGAGGCATATTTTTTAGATCTATGTACATTTTTCCTTCTTATCTTTTGTCTAACTTGTGCACTCAGCAGCACGTTTTCAAAGATTGATTCCAAATTCCTTGCTTTTGTAGAGTTAACACAACCTCTGGAGAATTTCAATTTGGTTACTTCTGAAGGACTGTGGAGTCTGGCAAGCTTCCCAGGCTGACTTGTCTGTAGGAGGAAAAGCCTGAAAATTATGGAAGACTCGAGGACAATTGTACTATTGCACAGAGCTATGTGACAGGGCGGATGAGAGAGTGCTGAGCGAGGGCCGGCTATATGACACAATTGTCCTTCTAGCTGCATACATTGAAAAATCTGGAAGATTTCCCCGCTCTGGCCCATCTGTTTGTCTATTCACCCAGCGGTAGTCCGGTCATCCCAGGGATCAATTGTTGGAAGTCCAGCTCCAGCAGTCATGCACAGTGCATGCTGGTCTATGAATCTCCCACAGTGCCTTTCACCAGGCTCAGGTTTCCTAACTTCCGGGTGTTACAATGACTAAGTTGTCACTGTAGCCAACTAAGGCTGGAATGAGTTAAAGCAGCATTTGAAACATAGCCCCGGTAAAGTAAATTGTTATGATTAATGAAGTGGTTGAAGGAGTAGTTCCCACGGAGAAGAAGCAACCAAGGGAGATGTTAAAGGAGCGGCAGATCGTGCCTTACCTGCGGTGCCCTTTTCTCCTTTCTCCCCTTTCCTGCCATCTCTACCGTCCCTTCCAGGGAGGCCGATTCGACCATGGGGCCCAGGGGAGCCATTTGCTCCAGGAGGGCCTGGGGGCCCAGGTAAGCCAGGAATGCTGCAGATGTACCTTGGAGAGTAGCTCTCTCCCTTGGCCTGATTGCCCCGAGGTTGTCCACTTGCACAGATGGCAAGACTTGTCACGTAGAGCAGGACAATCATCTTGGGCTCTAGAAGAGAAGGACAGACATTAGTGCACTGTCCAGGGACAGGCTTTGGCATGGCGTAGTTGGTGAGAACTACAGAATGGGTGTGTGCAGCAGCCTCCCCCAGCATTTGATTTTCCTCATGTCTAGAACCCTGCTTCCTCTCATGATTTAAGAAGCTGTCAATCCATTATTGTCACAGAATCCTCAGTGCCTAATACAGAGACTGACATACATGAAGGATGAAAACATTTTATGGGGCTGGAGAGATGACTCAGCATTTAAGGCCACTGATGGCTCTTCCAGAGGACCTGGGTTCAAATCCCAGTAGCCTCATGCAACTCAACACTTTAACTTCCAAGATCTGACACTTTCACACAGACGTACTTGCGGGCAAAACACTAATGCATATAAAGTAAAAGAAAATAAATATTAAAGAAAACATTCTGATCACATTGCTGCATTTATTCTTCAACAATGAATGGATTTAGCAAAACAACCTTTCCTTTTGCACTATAAAAGGAAAATGGCGCATTCAAATGACACTGATAAACATCAGCACAGTCGACACTGCTCAGAGATAACTAATTGCCCTCTATAGTTTAGTGTATGTTCCCAGTCTTCTTGTGTGTGTGTGTGTGTGTGTGTGTGTGTGTGTGTGTGTGTATGTGTGTGTGTGTGTATGTTGTGGAGAAAAGCGACTTTGGGCCAATCCTGTGTTTGACAGTTAACATTGACTTGAGCTCTTTTAGGACCAATTGTCTATAACGTTAATTACTGTCTTTCTCCTCTCTTGCATGTATAGAAGTTGTTTACAGAGCTGTGCTAATGTAACACACACTGGGTGTCATCCTACTCGTCTTCGCATAAGTCCATCAGGTTTTTAGAATTCATGGGAGAAAAGAATCATTTTCAGGAATAAAAAACAACAACATGTTTTTCACTTGTTAATCATGTGTAATGCCAATTAGTGCTAATTGCAGTACTGTGCGTATCCTGGGGGAGTCTGAAACTTTAATTTAAAAGCTGCAGGATATAATGCCGCCATGTCCCATTAAGTTGTTAGCACTGGGGGTCAATTAAGGAGCTGTGTGAACTTAAACCATGCACAGTACCACATGCACTGTGTGAATAGACGCAGGTCTCTTTAAGTCTAACCTAACAGGACTTGGTGTCTTATTCCCTTATGGGTGAGCAGTTTCTTCAATGGGAGAGTGCATGTAGGTGTTGCTGTGGGGGGTGGCCTATGTTTTCATACAGAATCTTCACAGTGCTTCACCTGGACAACGCCCTCTGAAGGGAATGATGATAAAATGTGGTGAAACTGACCAGATGGTATTTTGACAGCTACTCCAGAAAATTTAAAAGGCACGCCCCCTTTTATGGTGGCCATGGAAAGATTGTAACATCTTGGAATTATATCCCCCAAATTTGCCCCAGTTCAGGATTAACAACCTAAAAAGTGTACGTGAGATTTCGGAATAATCTCAGACCTTAGCATCAAAAATGCTTAGACAATGTATCCAGTGTTCCCAGATCCTGCTATCAAAGGATTAAAACACTTTTGTCCTGTTCTATGTGCTGGACCTGCCATACAATATAAAATCAGTGTAGGCTCTGCTACTGTAATGAAATGCCCGATTTAGTTAACAGTCTGGAGGCTGAAAATCTGAAGGCAGAAAAAGCACACGGCACAAAGTCCATCTCAAAGGCCATCTTGGCTACATCACACCATGGCATATAGTCTCCAGGTGGCAGGGGCGGGGAGACAGGAAGTCAGAACAATGCACAGAACCTGTTTTGTGACTTTGCCCTGGGCTCCACCCCTTAGAGACTACCATTGCCTGTCACAACCACCACAGTGGGATCAAGCTTCTAACACTGGAACATCCTGTTAAATCACACCCTTGAGGAGGGCAAGTACCAATCTCAAACCACTGGTCCTAGTGTTCTACTTTCTGACAAACCCTGCGGTTCTGATAGCAATATAGGCTCTTCAGGAACCCCATGAAGAGGGACTGGAGCGATGGTAAGAATAAGAGGATCAGGGGGAGTGCCGCAAAACAGTGCCGGTTGGACATTTCAGGGGTGTGGTTCCCACAAACATCTCAGCATCTATGGCTGCCTGCCAAGCCCTCCACAAGAGCACACAAGTCAACATCCCAATGTGAATAGGGATAAGGCTACAGTGTATTCCCTGCCCCACCCCTCAGGTGAGAAGCTATAGGCAGTCTACGGCTGCTGAGGGAGAGTTAGGAGGGAGAGTTAGTTTTCTGAAGAGACAAGTCCTATGATATGGTGTCTAATCACTAATGGTCAGCCCCAAACTCACACATGTAGACAGCACACACACACACACACACACACCACACGCATGTGTGTGTATATATATATATACACACACACATATATACATATATAAAACAATTTTACAGCTATATATATGTAATTATCTCTCTCATATATAAATATGACATACATTTAGATATGGCATAAATTGGAAAATGAGACATGGTGGAGCATGGCAGGACTTGGAAGTTGGAAAGGCTATGGTCAAAATGCATTTTTTTTTTTTTTTTAGAAAACAAGATATGAGCTGTTTTGAAGAAGACTCAGATAAAAAATAATATAAGGAGAATCCTATGCACAATCTTTACTATTGTTAAAACTGGATGCTTTGATTGCAATTCCAGATCTTCTTTGGGGAACACACTTAAAGTGGATGCTCAGGAGGAGGTTTTTAACCACATACATAGAGAGCACTGAAGGCTGTAGACTGAGGGCAACAGGCATTTTTAAGATTTCTAAGGAAGACATGAGAATATTGGGAGAAAAGGAGCTTTGGGGAGCCCAGGCACTGGTGGTGGTATGGAAGAGGAGTGAACTGGGATCTGGGTAGTGGTAGACAAGGAAGCCTAGTTTGAACGTGTTTGGAAGAGAGAATACTTCACTGATAGCAGCAGCATATACTCAAAGGAAGAATCAATTAAAGCCACTGGCACTGTTTGTCATTGAATGAGTGGACTGCTTCTCATCAACAAAAGCACTAGAGAGCTGTCTGGGGCAGGAGTCTAAATGCATGCTTGCAGCTCCAGTTAGAACCTTTGAGCATCACTCCAGCTGATAATGTACTAACAGTCATCAGCTGGGAGGGACAAGGTGCTGTGGTGCTCCCTGCATGATGTGGGATGATGGTGAGGAATCGTGCAAGTCTCAGGACCCAGTACATTTGTGAAGATGAGAGAGCATGGGTTACCATGGGAAACTATAATGACCTCACCACGATGGCTCTTCATTTCCTCTAAGAGTCAACATTGTTATGGCTACAAGATCTACTTGATCCTCACAGGCCTCCTTAAATTCTGTTTCTTCATCTTTGATTTGATTCCACAGTCCCAGATTTAGTTGCAATGGATTCCTTGGTGTCCCTTAAAGGAACCTGGTATAACACCCTTTAGGATCATTTTCAGTCTCCTTCTGAGTAAAACCCCTGCACCAAGATGTCTGTATGACTTAATTCCTCACCTCTTTCTTTTCAGTACAATCATTTTCGTCTTATTGTAAAGTGCTATATTCTGTCCGCCAGCCCTCCCTCTTCCTGCTCCATTTTTTTTGCTATCCATTGCATTTATCATCTCAACCCACTGGATTATTCCTATCTTTATCTTGTGATATTTGTTTTCAGACAGGACCCACTGCATCCAAACTCTACAAGGGCAGTGATCTTTTTCTTATTGATTGATGAGTTCTGTCATATTCTAGCGTGTTACCCCCTCAGCGGCTACATGGCATCTCCATGGCAACTCTCTCCCAGCATTCTCTTAGTCTGCTAGCCCCACTTATACTTCCTGCCTGGCCAATGGCCAATCAGCATTTACTCACCAACCAATAATAGAAGTACATATTCGCTTCACTCAGAAGGACATCCCCATCATCACATGAGTCATGTTGGTGGGAAATTTGTTCCAAGACCATCACCCCACCATAGGTACCAAGAGCCAAGGAGGCTCAAGGCCCCGATATAAGTTGTCGTTGTGTTTGCATATAACCCATGCACACTGTCCTGTATACTTTGAGTCACTTACCACTAGATTACTTATAATATTTAACATGATGGGGGATGTTTGTAAATAATTGTACTGTTTATAGAATAATAAAGAAAAGTCTGCACATATGCTGCAGAAAATTGATAAACAATTATTACTGTTTTTCTGTGATTCACTGAATCCAGGCATGTGGCCTTTGAGGTCTGGTGCATCTGTATATATTGACATCTCTTCATATAGATACAATACACTTTTTTTGTTTCAGGGACTCTGGTATATCTGTTATGTACATGTTTTATATTTAATTTGTGTCCTGCCAATGGACATTTGGGATAGTTTCATTCTTTTGCTATTATAAATGTTAGTATAATGAATATTTGTATTTACCTATCTTATGCACATCAAGACAAAGGCAGAAAATGTTTTTTTTTAATTGGTTTTCCTCACTTTTTAGAGGATTTATTGTATTTTTAATTATTTGTCTCAGTGTGTTGGCACATATATGTGAATACAAGTAGCTGAACAGGCCAGAGATGTTGGACCCCATGGAGCTAAAGCTATGGATGCTTCTTGTAAGCTTGGCATGGGTGCTATAACTCTTCCAGGTCCTCTGGAAGAGCAGCAAGCACTCTCAAGCACTGAGCCATATCTCCGGTTCCTGTTTTTACATACATTTAAAATATTTTTATTATTAAAACCTTTATTGTGTATACTTTATTGTGTGTAGAAGATTCCTTCCACACTTCAAGATACTAAACATAATTTTACATTTATTTCAGTTCTCACATTTTATTTTATCACACATAAAAATTTGGTCTACTCGGCTTTTCCTGATGAAAAACTTCGATGTAGCAATACAACTGCACATTTCCAGTACCATTTCCTGTCAACCCATTTTCATCTACTGCCCCAAATTTAAAGCATCACAAAAAGTTTGGTTGTTTTGACTGAGAACAAACCACATGAGTCAAAACTTTA